CTAGCACTGTTCCTTATTTAGTACGCAAGTCTAGGCCTAGGCAGCTGGATAGGACAGGTATTTTTTGTAGATTTTCGATTCGAGATGGGCTTCTTCTCAAGATAAAGCCCATTGGGCTTCTGTCCAAGGGTTTATGGTATGTAGTGGCACCAAAGATTCTCTGATAGTAACTTGTTTATTAGATAATTAAATTGGCCTTTCTTCGCAGGTAAAATTTAAAGAAAGAACGCATCATGTTAGCAGGAAGACATTTAGTCAACAGATACACGCTTGCAGCGACAGTAGGCCTCGGTGCAGCACTCTATCAAGCTGAGATGTTGTGGATTTCGCTCTCCGTAGCTGTCTATGTCGTGGTGCTTTTTATTGGACTCATCATTGGTTTTTCTCTGGTGGCATCTTCTGGGAGGCAACGAAGACCATCCTCTGGGCAGAGCCTTCCGTCCTCTTCTCAAGCTCTCATCCTGAAAATGATGGTAAGGTAGAACTTTTTGAATAGAGGTCTCCCTCCTGTCTTTCCATGGTCTTTAGTAGCTTTAAATAAATAAACATAAATGGCATCTGTTAATTTGGGACCACATCAAAGTGGTATTTAATTAGAGGTGATCTTTAATTCGAGTGGTCTTTAATTAGAATGAGACCTATATTCAAAAAATTGTCTTGTAATATTAATCAATAGGACAGACTAAGTTTTTGATATTGAAGTTAAGGGTTCTTATCAAAGTACAAGCTCATTGTCAGGTTCGAGAAAAATGCGTGAACGTAAGACTGTAGTGTTAGTCAGGGGCGTAGTGCCTTTCTCTGGAGCCATATTTGCTCTAGACAAACTGTTCAGAAAACATCTTGTTGTGGCTGCATTCTATAAAGATAATTTTACTAGTCAGGCACTACAATATCTTTTGCAGGTCTGATCATTAAGTCTTGGTTTTACTGAAGAAATTTTATTATTTGTTGATTATGTTCATTATTTCAAAGTACAATAATATAATTATACTATTTTAATACTATCAATACTAACATAAAGATTGTATAATTATTAGGCAAATATTATTAATTATTATACATTTTCTTGCTTTAGGAAATGCGAACAAGAAAGAAAAAGCGAAAACGAAGGGGCGTGGTGATATCCAGAGCCATGGATAAAGCCATCAAAGAAGGTACAGTATATTATATAGTCAGTCAATCAATCAATCAATCAATCAATCAATCAATCTATCAATCAATCTATCAATCTACTTATGATATGCACAATTATCAATTGATGCAATAATTACCATATTCATTTGATTTCCCTATGAATTGGATTTGATTAAATTTTATATTCTATGTTGATTTGATTTGATATGATTTTGTTTTTTAATTTTATTTACCATTAATTTGGATTTTCTATAACCATTAGTTAAGATTTTTTTTTTTCTTTGATTTTGAATTCCCCCTCAGAGAGCAAAGTTAAGTGTATGTTATGATGATTGCATAAAATTATAAAAATACCGTAAAATCTCGAATTTAAGTCCTGGGCTTTTTTGCGAACTTTTGACTGGCTTTTTTCGAGATGGGCCTCTTTTCGAGATGGGCTTCTTTTAGAGACTACTTTTGCAAAGTAAAGAGGGGTGGGGCGGCTTCTTTTCAAAAATAATGCTGTAAATTTTGTGAATTTGTACTATAAAACAATAAATAAGGCCACTGTAACATCAATCTGTACCTGGAGTGTATTTAACTGGCATTAAATCAACTAAACTACTGTATAAACTGAGCTTGTATTCAATTTATTTTGTTTTTTGAAATTCATATATAGTGTATGTACTGTACTGTCTCGAAAGAAGCTCATGCTATTTTGAAAAGAAGCCCAGATGGGCTTCTTTTCAAGGTTAATTTTGCAAACTAAAGAGGGGGGCTTCAATTCGAGATGGCTTCATCTCAAGATTAAGCCCACTGGGCTTCAATTCAAGGTTTTATGGTATGGGAACTGAAGCTGCATATTGCTGCCTCTGTTTGTGGATGTTGGTGCAATTGAAATACATACACAAGAAAAATGAATTCAAAATGTTAATATTGATTACTCTACATGACTTGATTGTAATTCTATTATTTTTTTTTTATATCACAGTGTTTGATTTAGTTGTTCAAGATTTTATTATGGTCTGGTACAGAGACCTTGGCAAGGATTATACTACATTCATATCAGCTCTGGAGTAAGTTAATATTTTTAAATGTTTAGTCTACCAAAACTTTGTCCATATTCCTTTAAGCAGGCAAGATGACCAACAGATAACTAGTGATGGCCATGAGATGGGGTAAATTCTTGGGTCACAGTAGCAGGTGCAGAGTTAGGGTCAGAATTTATGGCTATTAAAATAATTATTTTTATACATAATGTGGTTTAGGTTTTTTTCATTTTAAAAATTTATTCTGCAATTTTTGCAGAATAAATGTGATAGTTTTTCATGACAACCTTACAAATCACAGACACATCTTCAAACTATTTATTCAGTTATTTATAATTTTCTATAATATTTCAGAGACGATATGTGGGAGCTGATTACCAACTTGGTTATAAGGTTACAGAAAGTGGATATGGTAAGTTTCAGTAAGTTTTGGCCAATCGTAGAGCCTTACCTCCAAGACGAAAGCGAAGAACCACGTCTGTTGGCAAATTATTGGCCCTCACAAAAAAGACCTTAAACCAAACATACATTATAGGCTGTATTAGTAGCAACTGTATGTTCACTGAACCATAAAGGCTTGTGGGTCTCTGGATCAATTTCACTGCTATCCTTGTTTTTCAGCTTGAGTAATTAACTTGCAATTAACCATTTATTCCTGTAACCATGTTTATGGGAAAGGGTGTTTCCAAGAATAGGGAAGAAACAATGGCATTTTATGGAGTATCAGACCAGTGACCAATCAAAGTATGCTGTCTCTTATACACATCTAGATGTGTATAAGAGACAGATGTTACTCCTTCTGTTCTATTTTCTCTATACTCAGTACTTATCCTTGATAATATGTTAATCCAATTAATATAGTGAGATAACGTAACGTTAGTTTATCGAGGGCGGGTCGAGCTAATGAACTGTTGTTCGTATACGTTTTGGGAGAAACTGTTAAAAAATGCATGTAAATGGCACCAAATTCTCACGTTTTCTAGAAAATTCGATCACAAACAAACTGAATAATCTTACCTTCGAATCTCAGTAATTTTTTAACAAAAGCTTAGTGGAACAGTCCATTTTCTCAAGTGTGAGTAGTACAATGTCTATTGGTACATATTCATACAGAGTTAGTATACAACAAAAGTATTGATCATACTAAGCTGATTTAATTCATCTAAGTGCGGTTCATGGCTCTGGATGTTACTGAAAAATTATGTGATCACTTCAGGGAACTTCGGGAGACATCACCAAGGTAACTGTACACTTTAACAGCCAATCATAAGAATGGAAAGGCCAGTAGTTTTATATTTTTAACAAGCAAGGGATTAATATTTGTCTCACCCAAAATTATGCTTGTATGTGTTCCAACTTTCTATTTAAAAAACGCACATTTTAAAAATTGTTATTACAGCACTGAAGGTGGAGGGAAACTACAACCTTTCCAGTTGCATCCCTGTTTAAAAAGTGACGTTGCAGAGACAGAATTCCTACGGGAAGCAACTGAAGTTTTACTTGTTCTATTGTTGCCGGAGAGGATAGCCAGCTCCGAGACTGCACGTCATGTCATACGTGAAATAGTGACATGTTCAGGTGAGTTAACCAGATGGTGTAAACTAAGGTGGAATTACTGGGTTTTATTCAAAAGCAGGTAAATTGGGTTTACATATGCTAGTTAACCAGGTGGACTGAACTACAGGCAGGTAGGTAGAGCAGCACAGGTTATATAACCTGGTTTATTGAAATTGGTGATTTAATATATTAGGGACTTTTAGATTTACACGTCGACATAGTGGACTGCTACGTGATGAGGTCATTTTAAGGCACTGCGCATGCATTACGTCGTCTCCCTCGTCCACTACCAAAATCGAGAACGTTTCACCTCGTTTTTCCCGTTGTCCTAAATATAGGACGCCGTGCTCGCTTGTGAAGTTTAAAGATGGAAGATGCAAATATAGTGGCAACGCTGCCGTCCAACTGAGGCAGAGACAGAGTCTGGGGGAAGTTTCAACTTGTGTTGAATTAATCTGTATTATTTGCTTTTTAATGCACAGGCAGTTATGTAATTTCTACTGCCTTCGTAAACACAAAAAGGCTGTGGAAGTTCATGAGCGTGCTTACGCCAGTGTGCATGCAATGCAAACTTGCACCACAGCGAGCGCAGCCGACCGGGGAGGCCTGTTAACTATCTGCATCTTCGCAGTTGACGCACCGGATGCGCTCTGAAGTATGAATTACATTCATCATTGTTGTACTTGTCTAGATCAAATTTCTGATAATCTTGGTACCTGAATTCGGCATTTTTGGGTTTATTTGTATTGTATAAAAACATGAATTCTTCATCGTCCAAGATACCTGTAGAACATGTAGAATATGCAAAGACGACAATTTCGCGAAGTCGATGAAGGTTCGCCATGACACAGCTGCTTAAAAAGGTTGCCTAGCGCGCGCTACATGTCGACTGAAATCTAAAAGGTTTTCATTTGTAGTCAACAGGTATAGTTGACTACGTTGACACGCATGACTAGTCGACGTGAACCAGGTCCACGTCCACACAATCTAAAAGTCCCTATTAGTTAACCAGGTGAACTGAACTACATTTAGGTAGGTAGAGCAGCTCAGGTTATATAACCTGGTTTATTGAAATTGATCTACACATATTATGTCATTGTCACTGTCGTGGTTGGTCATTTGTCTGTTACCACGATAACTAAGGTTTTGGGCAAGTCTGATAGGTTTCAAACTTGGCAGAATCCAAGATGGCAATAAGAAGACAGAGCCTGTTGTTTATTTGGTACATGTGTGAATATGCTAATTGCTTATTTGCATAATTAATAATTCACTAATCAGAAAATTTACGCTACATACTATCATAATTCCCAAAGAAAATTTCTAATTTATTTGAAATTGTAATAATTTGTAATGTTGGTGTCATTGTCGCTGTTGTAGTAAATTGTTTGTTAATACAATAATTTAAGTTTGGTAAGTCTGATTGTTTTCAAATTCGTATTTGCCAATTCTCAAGAAAATAATCACACTGTGAAGGGGCTATGCATTTACTGCCCAGCATAAAAGGAGCATTTCTAGTTCAAATATTGGTGATCAGCACATATTACCTAACCAAGTGATGATCAGATGTGTATTAACCTGATTAACTTTATATGTAGTTGATGTTGCATGGGTTAGTAAACTAGGTGAACTGAACAGTGCAAGTCAGTAAAGGCGAGATTTTTTTTTTCCTTGTTTAGCGAACTCGCCGTTTGCAAATATTGATGATTTTAAATAAAAATAAAATTTTAATGGAAATTTCAGAAAAAAATAAAAGTTTTAAAAAAATGTTATTACACCCTCTACTGCCTTGAAATCTCCAAAGATCTGATATGATATGTATATGTGGCAAAGACCAGCCAAACCAGTCACTCGTCACAAAAATCAATATTTAGTTGTTAATTCATGGTTAAACAGTAAAATGAGAGCTATAAAATGGTGAAAGAATCATTTAAATCCAACATTTCATTATAAAGCTACAAGAGTTTAAACATAGAGCTGTTTAAAGAACAATATTTGAGATATCAGTCTCTAAAGTTTATGATTTTGGTTATTTCTCTAGCAAAAACCATCAGTATGTTGTTAAAAATTTTAGCTTTAATGTTGAAAATTAGGAAAATAACATCATATCATGTTATATAAATATATAAAATTTAGTTTAGTGTAATAAAATAGATTTCAAAGATTTAACTTGCCATTATTTTATTATCATATTTAAAATGTTGTTTATTATCTAAAAACAACAAAATTCTACATATTGTAGGCCTAATCCTACCGCCCGTTTAAACGCAATCACGATCGCATCACGACTTCACTACTGACAAGTACACTGTACATGTGTGGGAAATCCCTGATAGATCATTCTGGGCATGCGCATGGACATGCATGGGCAGTTTTGAAGCAGCCTGTGATGATACGATCATAGCTTTTACGAAAGTGATATTTCCCATGCCAAAGATAACGATAAAATGAACGCTTAAACAAAATTTATTTGGCAATTTTCTTATCCTAAACATATGTATTATACTACGCTATTAAATTAATACAACTACAGTACGACCATTCTTTCACCAGCAATATATTGATTTAATAGAGAAATTAACAAAATCACAATCTGTAGATGACCATGTAAGTAAGGTCGAGCGTTTGGAAAAATCATAGTTTATACTATAGACCTAGGAAGTAAAAAATTGCCGATTCTGCCGACCTTGGAGAATTTAAGGTTGGCAAATTTTTGCCGACCTAATTTTTTCCTAATTTCATGGGCTGAATAAATTATTCAAAATTGTCAATGTATTGAAATTTTAAGCAGTTTAATAGCTGTCATGACACCCAAGAACTTTAACAAATCAGGTTCCTTATTTATAATTGATGCATATATTTATGAATTAATTATTCAAAATAGTCAATGTAATATTATGTAGGGTATGTTCATTTGATGTTTGATTTATTTCCATTTTGTCATTGGCATTTCTTGCCCTGATGTGCGGTCATTGCATTTCTTCACTTTTTTCTTTTCCAGTCTTTCATTTTTCAATGATTATTAAGATATAGATATTTGAATATAACATTTTCTAAATCATATCAAAGTAACAAAAAAGGAAGTTATTCCTCTCTAATTATAAAAATAATAATGATAAAAATGAGAAAAATAATAATTAAAATCTTATAGTAATGATTAATTGATTGATTGACTAATAATTGATGATTTCTTCATTTTTAGGTGTCACATTTTAACTGAAATTATGCAAGCAACCAACATTCAAAATATGAAGAAGGCAAAGGGATTAGAATTAGGAACAAAGACATCAAAGGGAGCTGGTAAAGGAGAGCTGTTGAAGGCACGTAATCTGAAAAGATACCTCAACCAGGTAAGTTTTAGATGGGCTCGAGGGGAAGAGGGACAAAGCCCAGGGTCCCTAGTAATTATTATAATACACAATATCCTTCTAAAAGAAGACACCAAAAAACTAGCAAAAAATATATAATTTCTGGTTTTTAACTCATGAATGTAATGTGCTACTAAAATTCACAGAGAATTTGAGTAATAT